ACAGCCGACTAATCGGACAGTTCTCGCTCGCTTGCTCGCTTGCTCGCTCGCGCCTTGGCTGGGTTTCCCTGCTCTTGTCGCCCCTCCCAGTCCCCTGCTCGCCTCCTCCCGCTCGCCCCCTCCCGGAAGGGCTTGCGACCCGCCCCCTGTCTCCACCACTTCATTTTTTTTTTTTTACCTCGTCTTTTTTCCTACCTCAACTGCTATCTAGGATCCGTGCAGGGTGGCTTGCTCTCTTTTGCCTGGTTTTTAAGCCTTTAGGTAACCCTGCCTCTGCCGCCCCTAACGAGCTAGTTTTAACACAGTGCCAGGCACTGGTTCAGCCATCGAGATGAAGGGGCACAGTTCAGAGCACATGGATGCACTCACATCATGTTTCCAGCTCTTTACGGTGTCCACTTGGGTGGGCACAGAACACATTGCTTCCCACTTGCTCATCAGCTCACTCCCCACTCCAAGCTTATCCCCAGAGCTGCCAAGAAAACCCCACTGTAAGTCAGGGAGCCGGGATCAGGACAGAGATGGTTTCATCAGAAACCATCATTGGAGGTGGCCTTGCCTTTCACCGCCAAGGACCCTTTTCCTTGCTCCCCCAACTTCTGCTGAACGCCCCCTGCCTCGCCCGGCCGCTGCCCAGGTTCTGAGAGAGGCTTCCTGCCAGACTGCATTGATTAACTATTCATTCATCACCCCATTTTTTATTAATCAAAGACATTTATAATTGCCCATCGGAGCTTGTGATCAGCATGAGATAGCTGGCCTAACCAGCTGTGTTGCTCACTCCAGCCCAGAGCGAATGAGCCGATGTCTTCTCTGCCTGTACCACAGTTTTCTCCTCACCTTTGAGAGTCAGCTGCTTATGCATTAGATGCAAACCCTATGCCCAGCTTCCTGGCTCAGCCCTCTCTCCAAATGAAAAATAGGAAGTAGATTGTGGGAAGCCAGCACCAGTTAGTGTTTCCAGACCACCACCAAAAAAAAACAAAGTCTCAAAAAAAGGCTACTCAAGTGACTTACTGCAGAGGGGGAGGGCGCTGCCATCCTACACCCCAGTGACTTCAGTGTAGCAGGCTGAGGGAGACAAGTTCACTAGCTGTCCCACCTGTAAAATGGGTTTGATGCACCTTAGTTATAGGAGGTGTCCCTCCACGAGGCATGAGGAGCCTAAGAAGTCCCCATGGAGCAGATGCCACAGGCTAACTGCACAAAAGTGGGATTTCCAGTTTCTAGTTAGCACTGGGGCTGAAAGGGAGCTTAGCAGGGAGGCCACAAAGGACTTTGGACAAATGTCATGCCACACAACAGTCCTAAAAGGACTTTGCCCAAGGTCATGCCACACAGCGTAAAATTTGCCTGACCCCCACACTTGTGCTCTTAACTCTCCCAGTCTTGACACCAGATATTTGGACTTCGAAGAAAACAAGTCATTTCTTTAAAAATTAAAATTTCTAAAACACTGGAGGGTGAGGATGGGGAAATAAAAATACAACTCAAGACAAAGGAAACAGTGCAAGATTTTTCTCTCGCTGCAAGTCAGTGCTATGAATGCAAACCCAAGCTTCTGCCCTGGGCTCGTGTTTTGCTCTCCTGAGGACCTGGTGGATAAGGAAATGGAAACAGCAAAGAAAGAACAGAAAAGGTCAAAGCCAAGATAAAGAGAATTTAGAATGCAAATCAGCAGGAGCAGGCGGGAAGGCACAGCTCACAAGCAGGCCCAAACACAGGACCCAGTGTAGGCCACCCTAGACTAAGCACTATGTCCTATTCCTGTCTCTCCGGTAGGAGCCCCACCCTACACCCCACTCGGCTGTGCAGAAGACACCACCTCTAGTAACACGACAGACCTATTGACAATGGCAAGTGTGGATCTTAGCATATTCTGAGTCCTATTTGCTTCAGTTCCTGCAGCAGGGAAAGGCAATTGCTGTTCTGATCAGCCTACAGTGGCTCTCCAATGAGGATTTTCTTGTAGCATCCAAGAGAGGAGAGATTATAGTAAGTTCTGACTTTCTCTCTTCATCTCCTTCCCCTGCACCCCATCTTTTTTTTTAATTGATTGCTTGCTTGGCTGGCTCAGTGAATCCATGTGAAGCACCCAGCTCTATGGCTGGTGTTGGAATTCAGGAGATCCAGTGCCTTCCCTCAAGCAGCTCCTTCTCAAGCCAAGGAGACAAAGAAAGCCTATTCCTAGAGTGAGAGAATGTTCTTCCAAGCAGAAGCCAGCATAATACTTTCAGCCAACAACATGGGGCCAGGACAGAGCCTAGACAAAGCAAAAACGTTCTAGAACTATGGTAGATACTGGCAAGGACAGTAGAAAGACTTAGGCCTGAGCCAGGACCTGGGTGAAGGTATTTGGACTTCAGCTCCTATCAATCAATCACATCCTATTGATTCCATCTGTTTCTATCTGTCCTGCCCATCCTTAGCTACTGCCACAGCCAGATCCTCATCTCTCACTGAGGCCTTGCCTACCTCTGTGCTATCAGCACATCAGCCCATCTGGGTTCTCATTTGATAACACTACTTAACTGTTCATACTCTTTCCGGTTACCCAGCAGCTGAGGGCTAGGCCAGGTTCTGGGGTTAAAAGCCATGGACATCACATGGGCTTGTGTGTCTAGCCACACATGGCAAAATGAAAGAACTACATATAAATCATATACCTGAGGGTAAAAAGACTGAGGCTGTAGCTCAGTAGAGTGTTTGCTTAGCATGCAGCATGAAGTCCTGGGTTCCAAACTCATCACTGCGGATGAAGATGCTTGCCTGTAGTCCCAGCACTCAAGAGGTCGAAGCAGGAGGTCAGAGGTTCAAGATCGTCCTTTGCTAAATAAAAAGTTCAAGGCCAGCTTGGGCCACATGAGGCTCTATCTCTAAACAAACAAACAAATAAAATGATACTCCTGGTGCAAGCAATGATTAGGTCCTCAGTCATCCCATCCCACCTTCCCCCTTTTCCACCCCCAGATGATCCTTCCTAGGCAGTGTTCACAAACCCTTTTCTTCTTTAATTTCATTTTGCTTTGGTTTTGACACATGGTTTTTGTTTGTTTGGTGTGTGTGTGTGTGTGTGTGTGTGTGTGTGTGTGTGTGTGTGTGTGTGTGTGACCTTGGCTGTCCTAGAACTAGGTCTGTAGACAAGGCTGGCCTCAAACTCACAGAAATCTCCTGCCTTTGCTTCCCAAGAGTTCTGGGCCACCACCACCTGGCACACAAACCCTTTCTTAGCCCCCTTTCCAAATGGATAGATAAGCTGTAAGCCTTTTCACATAAAGGGCTCTGCTTTCTGATGTATCAAGCATACAAACAAGCCAGTGTTCTCGAAGAAACAGAACCGATAGAATAAACTAACATAGTTAAATATCAAAAATGGATTTATGAATCGTTTACAATGGGCTTCCCACCTACAATAATCCATCCAAGAAAAATCCTTCACAGGTGCCCAGCTGCTTGGCTTTTAGTTACTTCCAAATGTAGTCAAGTTGACACCCAAGATTAGCCATCACATCCTCTCAAAACCTAGGTTTGTGAGAATCCAAGTATTTGGCTTTCCCACCTACAGTCTCAAAAAGGGTTTTGAGAGCCAGTTTTGAAAATTTAAGAAGCAAAAGATAAATGAAAACATTTTCTTTTTCATTTCCAATGAAAAGAAAAATTCCCATCCTCCTGAGGTAAAGCCACGAAAAATTATCAGCAGCATGTTGATAGCCAATCACTGATCTCTCTGAGCGTCACTCCTCTCATCTATAAAATTAGTCAGGTTGTGGTGTGGATTACAGATAATGTATGAAAATTGCCCAATTAGTACACTGGCTAATATTGTTGTTAACAAACATTATTTAATTATGGGAAAATCAAGAAGAAATCTAATCAAAAAAAAGGAAATGAGATTTTGGAAGGATTGTAAATTGCCCCTAACTGAACAAAGAAAGAAGTGGGTAGGGACTGGAGAGATGGCTCAGTGGTTAAGAGTACTGCCTGCTCTTGAGGAAGACCAAGGTTCATTCTCAGCACCCACATAGTGGCTCACAACCACCTGTAACTCCAGTTCCAGGGGATATGATGCCTTCATCTGACCTCCACAGGCACCAGGCACACGTGTGGTAAACAGATATACATGAAGACAAACTGTTCATACACTAAAAATGAAAAAATAAATGGGGGGTCACTGTATCACTATAAGCCAACTGCCTTTAAAGAGCCCCATCCTACGGAAGCAGTCCCCTGAGGTAGATATCTGTGTCTCCCCAGGGAGAAAAACCCTGTTGACCATCCAACTGATTATACTGTGAGCTACTGGCAGGAAGTTGGTTCACAAACCAGAGTAGACAGGAAGGAGAGAAAGCCATAGAGCTAAGCTCTTTGGGATCTCCTAGTCCGTTCAAAATGGCTCTGATAGTGCTGGACTGTCCATGAATAGGAGGCCTCCATGCTCTAGGAGACGTTTCTTTTCAGAAGAAAAGGGATATGAAAGGATTCCCAAGGAGGCACTAGAGAGGCCCTCAGGCCAGTCATGTTGCTAGCCCAGCCCTTGTGGCTACTGTCAGTGACAGCAATCATGTATACAGCAACCAGTCACAATGAGCTTGGGAGTTAGAGGCAGGAGCACCAAGGCCCAATGCACCTGGCCTCATGAGTCTCCTGGGGCCCACCCCACTCCCCCTAACTGCATTTCCATGGCATGTTAGCTATTTTGTGCATTGTGGTCACATATTACCCAACAGACACAGCGTAAATGAGGAAATATTTATTTGAGCTTGTGGTTTCAGAGGCATTTCTGTCCGTCACGGCAGAGAAGACACAGCTGTGCTCACAGCAGTGGAAGCATGTGGCTAAGACTCACATCTCAGTACATCAAGAAGCAGAAAGAGCTAGACAGAAACTAGAGCATCACCACATCTCAAGATGTAGCCTGGTACCTTTGGACCATGACTCCAGTGGCCTTTGAATGCCCGAACCACCAAATCTGGGCAAGCACTTCTCTAGATGGCTGTCTGCAAGCAGGACATCCTAGGTGCCTTACATTTTCAGGAATTCTCTGCTGAAGTCTTCCATGTGAAATTTGCATTTTTGCTTCTTAATCCTTTGATGGATGGGCCCTCAAAGCACCTGTTGTTTGGGTGAAATTTGGGGCTTCTTTCTTTAAGGTCTATTTTTTTATTTTTAATGTTCATATGTGTGTGAGTAGATGTACATACGAACAAGAGAACAGGTGCCAAAGAAGCTAGAGGCACTGGATCCTGCTGCAACTGGACTTCCAGGCAGTTGTGAGCTACCCAATGTGGGTTTTCTTCATGGTTGAGTTCTTTAGCAGCCCACACTGTAAACAAACTTTCACCGCCTCACTCACCAAACTACATTTTCCATATCCTTTTGCTCTAGATCTCATTTGCAAATCTAGCTAAAAGCATCCTCAGCCTGGATGCTATGCAGTCATGCAATTTCATCCACCAAATAAATTAATCTTTTATTCTTGAATCCGGCCTCACTCAAATGTTTAGACTATAGGCAGAGCGTGGCCAGATTTTTGCCAGAATGCAACATCAATTTTCAGTAAGATCTGTGTTCCCATCTGAAAACACATGAGTATAAACCCTACAGTGTGCATGTCTGTCACAGGTTGGTCTTCAGAAGGCCACCAGATTTGCACAATAAGCTCTACTTACAGCATCTGTGAGCTTCTCCAGTCCGAATCTCCGCTCTTACGTGGTCCTTCTGAAAACCACTTCTAAAAGATTAAGAATCACATACCTGGGTTTCCTATAGCAACAGTCCCACTCCCAATACTAATTTTCTGTATGTCCCATGTCACTGTGACAGAAACAAGAGAGGTTTACTCTGCCAGAGAGATTTTAGTTCATGGCAGAGAAAGCCTTGTAGCACTCAGAACAAAGAGCATGCAATGGAGGCCCCTCACAAGGGGATGAGCCAGGAAACAGAAAGTGCTAGATGGTTTACACTCTGAAAAGCTTCATACCCTGCTTCCACCAGCCAGCTCCCACCTCATAAAGGCTTCACAGTCTTCAAAATTTTAACACAAGCTGGAGGCCAAATATTGAGACCATGAGCCTATTTGGGACATTCCAGATTTAAACCAATACATGTGTTCGTCCAAGAAGACATTTACAGGTACTAGATTTTATCGGAGACAAAAGATATCAAATTACTAAACATGTCTATACCTGCAACTCTAAGAGCCAGGCTGAATCACACCATATGAATCCCAAGGTGTTCTCCAGCCCTGAGAAGACAGAGTGGCATGAAGGATACCCACTATTAAGTGATCACTGACTGTGTGCTAGAGTTTACACATTGACTGTCCCCCAAAGGCCCCAAGTTAAAGGCTTGGTTCACAGGGTAGGGTCCTACTAGGAAGTGATGGAACCTTCAGGAAGTAGATCTTCAGAAGGTCCTTAGGTCTCCAGAAGTGTGTCTTCAAAGGAATTTCGAAGTCTCAAACCCTTCTTCTTTTCTCTTTGTTTCCTGGCCATGAGATAAGCATGGACCTCAACACAAAGAATTTCCTCAATCTCAGATAGGAAACTCTAGACTCTGTGCTAGAACAAGCTTCCCACCCTCAGTCTTCCTCTCTCACTTGTTCTATTCTCCAAGCCTCACTGGATATCTCCATTCTGTCTCAAACTCATGACCTTCCTGCCTCAGCCTCCAGTGCTGGATTAGAAGTGTGCACTACCATTCTTAGCTAGCCCCGCCCCCTGCCCATGCTTTTTATTTCTATTATGTTAAGTATATGTATGTGGGGGATGGGTATGTGTGTATGAATGAAGTACCCACAGAGGGTAGAGGTGTGAGAGACCCCTGGAGCTGGAGTTACAGGCAGTTGTGAGCCACCTGATGTGAGATGTGGGTGCTGGGAATTGAACTCAGGTCCTCAGGAAGAACAGTGTGTGCTCTTAATCACTGAACCATCTCTCTAGCTCCAGCCTTTCCTTTTTTTAAGGACATGGTTTCATGCATCCAACTTGGCCTCAAAGTTGCTGTAGAACCAAAGATAACCTCAAAGTTCTGATCCTCCTGCTTCCATTCTAGTTCGGCTGTTTTACAGACAGACATACATAAACAGGAGACCTGGTTTTATGCTGTAATGGCAGTCAAACCCAGGTTTTGTGCATACTAAGTCAACTAAACCACATTCCCCACCTTTCCTCTTTATAAGTTAATTATCTCGTGTATTTTGTTTTAGTGAATGAAAAGTAGCTCTCCATATATATATTGGGCACTACGTAAAGTGCTTTGTGCCTATTCTCTCATTTGGTTTATAACAACCCTATGAGGATAAGTCCCCATATAATGCTGAAGTCATTATTGTCCTACTGAGGCCCAGAAGGATTCAACAACTTTCCAAATATCACCTGGGCAGAGTGGGGTACTGTAGTGATATATTATTTATGATTTATTAAAGCTTGACTGAGGATTCAGAAAAGCAAAGTCAGCCACAAGCTACAAGCCTTAGAAGTCAGACCTTTAATCCCACCACTAGGGAGGCAGAAGCTGCCTGGTCTACAAAGCGAGTTTCAGGACAGCCAGAACTGTTAAACTAGACAGAGAAACCCTGTCTCAAAGAAGAAGGAGGAGGAGGAAAAGGAAGAGGAAGAGCCCTACAATGACAATTTTCCAGCATTAAGCTGAACAACTCCAACTAAAGATCAGCCTTGGACTACAAACTTCTCAGAACAACTTCGAGGTGACCAGCAAAGATGATCTATCGGACTAGGATCCCCTAAAGATATCGTTTGTTGCCTGCAGACAGCAGGAAGTGACTTTAAGAAAACAACCCCCACATTCCCAAGAGGTGGGGTGGGTGGTTTTTTAACATTCAATGGGTAATGGATATTTGTCATCGTTTAAACATATTGGTTACAAAATGTTGTTGGTTATGGTCACGAAGAAAGTTGAAGAAAGGACAGTAGATTGAAGGATTTTGTTTTGAAAAAAAAAGGATACAGATATGATAGGATAAAAAGGTAGATTATTAAATCTACTCTTGAAAAGAAAAAGGGATGATATAAGTATAATAAGACAAAAAGGAAAATTATTGAATTTACTTCTAAAAAGTATAGATATGGTGAGATAAAAAGGTAGCTTTTTGGATCTACTTTTAAAAAAGTGACTACTAGTTTTAAATATTTTACATTTGATTAGACTTCAGTATGTTGTATACAAATATTGTATATTGACACAAATTTGAGATTAATTTATTAAGACATTTTGTACATACTTTCTAAGGTATTGTACCTATACAGCTCATTTATCAATATAATGCAAATTTCTAGTCCCTGAAAATTATTGTTGCCAACTGTATAAGATAATAAGGAAAAATACGTTAGTAATTAGTCACCTATTGCAATTGACTTTGTAATCACATTAGGTATGTTTTCAAGGTCAAACAGACATATATTTTAGAAAGTTCATCTTCAAACACTTAAGAGATCTACAGAATATGGCATTTAAAATGTTTTAATAACATAGGTTATTTTTTATGACAATGAGACATGTCTGCTCCTGGAAGCAACAATCTACTTAAGAAAAGATGAAGAAACTCCACATGGAGTTAACTTTCTTTGTGTAAGACACTAGGCAAGAAAGTGCCCTTGCCTCAATTGCTGACAGTATGCTGTCCAAAATGGGCAAACAGGACACAAAAGAGAGTAAGAGCAAAACCTTGCCAAGACAAGGCAGGACAGCTCTTCAGAAAATCCTGCTTCACAGAAAAGTCTGTCAGAGATGCTAGGCCTATAGGTCAAAGATGGATGCCCCAATGTTGCAGAGGAACCTTGGGTGACTGCCCAGGCAACCAGCTGTTTTTGACATTTCTCACTTTTTGGAAGTCACTTGCTTGTACTTCCTGTTTATTCAGTTAATAGTATTTCTTTGTTGGGTCTCTGAGGGAGTTGAGGAATAGATAGTCTAGTTATAGTTTTCATTGTTTACCAGATTCAGAAAAGAAACTCACTAAAGATGTGTAAAGTGTAAAAGGTTGAGATACTTTAAAAGATAATTTGATAATGCAAATTAGAATAGAAAATAAATTAGGTACAAAACTTTGGACTCACCAAGACAAGATAGGCAATGAAGTATTTTCTCTGAATTTGTCAAGTGCAAACGGACTAGACATTGTTGACAAACTTTTTGCCTGTATATATTGTATATAGTTTTTCTTATGTTAGCTGTAGCCTTCTTCTTTTTGTATTAGACAAAAAAATGAGGAATTGTAGTGATATACTATTTATGATTTATTAAAGCTTGACTGATGATTCAGAAAAGCAAAATCAACCACAAGCCATAGAAGCCAGGCACACACCTTTAATCCCAGCAGCCAGAAGCTAGGAGATGGTGGTACATACCTTTAATCCTAGGACTCAGGATTAAGAGATAGATGAATCTCTGTGAACCCAAGGCCACCCAGATCTACACAAGAGTGAATCATTCTAAAAGAGAATTATAGCTCACACCTTTAATCCCAACATTAGGGAAGTATATAAAACAGAAGCAAGGCCTCAGAGAGGCATTCCTTCTCCAGCCACACTGAGGGAGGTTACAGTTTGAGGCTTGGTAAGAACTCGTGGAGACAGGACCAACCCATTCAGCCTGAGGCAGAGGTCAGAAGCTAGTGGCCAGCTGCTTTGCTTTTCTGACATTCAGCTTGAAGCTTGAACCCAAATGTCTGTCTCTGAGTCATAATTTATTCGTGTTACAGGGTAGTACAAGCCAGGGTACTCTGACTCAGATTTCTTTACAAACATTTTATCGTGTGTGTGTGTGTGTGTGTGTGTGTGTGTGTGTGTGTGTGTGTGTGTACATGAGTATGTATGTGCTCTCCATGCAAATGGGAACCCTCAGAGGTGAGAAGAGGTGTGTCAGATCCTCTGCAACTAGAGTTCTAAACGGATGAGAGCTGTCATGTAGGTGCTGGAAACCAAACCAGGTCCTCTGCAAGGGCGGTAAGAGCTTTTAACCACTGAGCCTTCTCCAGCCCCTCAGTTGATGTTCTTAGCCAATAAGCTGCCTGGTCCGCCTGCCCCCCAAGTACTGCACAGACCATGAACTCTGGAAATGGGCTGACAGAAAGTTCAATTGCTAGTCACAGAAGTAAAGGGCACAGGAGGCTTTCTGGTAGCATTGCTGATTAGACCACACAAGTGTTTCCCTGCTCTGTGTCTCCCAGCCCCACTCACATAGCTGAAGGGACGAAAGCAATGCCATCATGTCCTGACTCCATTTGTGTCTGCTTAGACACCTCAACTCTCTGTCTCCCAATAGCCACATCTGCCTGGGCAACACATTTGGGATTGCCATGACCCTGTCCATGGTCCAGTGGATAACCAAAAGAAGTAATGTTTATACAAACTAAACATAACCTATGATAACTGAAAAAGGTACAAATCAAAATTAATTGTCATGTTGTATCTGAAGTAGCCACTGTGTTCCACCTAAACAGATGTTTCAAGGCTACACTGCCCCAACCCTCATCTGACATTGAAGGTAATTGTGGTTTCTGTGGGTTATGCCTTTAAAAAACGCTGTACCCCTGAGCTTCAACACCAAGAGACTGAGGCATTACCCCACTCCAGGCCACTCTGGCCAAAATGAAAGGGTTCTCAACTCTTAATTGGTTTAATTCATACGGCTGTCTATGTCTTTCATATGGATTATTTCACTTTTTGGAGGCCCCAGAAAGGTACCCCCTCACCCAGGACTTGGCCTCTCTCTGGACTGCCCTAGGAAGTAGAGAAGTTAGAGGAGTTGCTCCATAGAGATGATGTCCCAGGACTCCATGCCTCCCACTGAGCCGAGAAAGGTTTGTAATAACTGCTGTGTGGCCCAGACACCAAAATGGGTCATCCTTCTGGCACTACTAGGAGGTGTGTCTGCATACTGAATTCAGTTCTGTTTAAGAGGATAGGCCTCTTTAGGGGCCTTCTCCTGGGTAAGAGGTACAGGCCTCTTGAGGGGTCTCATTAGGGTTAAGGGACTGAGGCCCTTTGAGGATACTGCTTAAGGTTTGAGAAGAAACATGTGACAAAGAGCCTTTCTTTATTCTCCTGAGCTAAGTAGGGATGCCAAAAGCAGAGGGCCTGACCTCCTGGTCCTGTCTCTCATGAGAGAGCTGGTTTTGGTTTTAGTCAGGATGAATGGTCAGCCAACTGTGTGAGCTCTGCTTACAGGGCTATATTGTTGATTTTTTACTGGTGACTCTGTCTTGTTTTGTACCCTCCCTGTTGTCATTTCTGAGAAGAGGAGAGCTGGTCTGTACTCCAAACTCACTCTGACTTAGTGACTGGAAGCCAACGTGGGGTCTGCGGGAGAGATCTGCACCTCACCCATTAGGGAGCCATTTGCAGCCCTTGTCGCCCTGTGTTATATGACTGATGGGAATTCTTTCTGGGATTATATTGACTGTTCAGGTCAACTCTGTCCTCTGACCCCACCTGTCTTTTGTCCATGAACCCTCTACCTGCCTGTCCCCATTCCTTCCCAGGCTCCATGTGTGCTTCTCTCCTCCCTTGGTCCTTCCATCCCAATCATTTCTTTCTCTCCAGCTCTCCACTCCTCAGTGTTTCATCTCAACCCCTCTCACTCCTGCTGCTCAGCTCCTGCTCAGGGTCTCAACCAGAGCACGAACTTAGTCAAATGAAATCCTCCTTCTCCCAAAGGGCTCTCAGAGCCCAAAGAGAGCAAGACGTAAAGTCTTGCTGGCTGAGTCCTGCAAGATAAGGCCCCAGGTGTGACAGGACAGCGTGTGCAGGACAGGGCGACTTATGGCTACAGGAGCTACAATGTGGACAGGAGTGGAGCAGCAACACACACACACACACACACACACATTTCTTTACCCCTCTGAGACCCTAAGCATCCTAGTACCCTTGTCAGCCAGTGAGTCCAGGATGCCACCTCAGAGTGGCCGCAGGATAAAAAGGCCTTTGGCTGTGTGGCTCTGAGGGAGACTGGAGACAGAGGCTTTCCCAGGTCCTAAAGTCTGCTCTCTCTATTGGATCTCCAAACACGCTTCACCTGAGATAGGGCATACTTTCTGCTCTCTGTTCTGGGGACTCCTTTTTCTTAAGCCTATGACCTGCCTTTATTTCTTCCTACCAAGCCTGGATATTCTTGCTTTTATTTCTGTCTTTCCTGGGGACACATGTAGAATGGGACTCCAATACCCTCTAAGCATGCTGCCCATTCCTCTCTACCATTCCCCTGTCTTGACCCAGTCTAGAAGTGAGCTTGTGGCAAACTCAAGGAAGAACTCATCAGTGAAGGGACAACTAGCCACTCCAGCATGTGACTCCAGCAGGCCTTGCCCTTCCTTCTCCTTCAGCTTTGCTAAAAACCATTGGATTACATTCCTGAAACTAAGCATGTTGTTTCTGTAGTGTAGTGCTTATCACGTTTGCCTCACATTCCTGAAGCTAGTCCCAAGCTCAATTCCCTTTTATGGCTACTGCCTCCTCCTGAAGCTGACTACCAAGGTCCAGCTATCAAAGTATTGAAGTCCAACAATCAAAATCACCCATTGGTTCACCTAATTAACATGTCCAATTAAAATTAAACACCTCATCCTAACACAGGGTTTCCCCATTGCACTTTTATAAACTTCCATTTACCTATGTGCCACATCTGTCTCCTCTCCATCCAGACAGTCCTTTGTCCCTCTGGAACAAGTACCCCTGTCCCCTTTCCCTGGTTCCCTTCCCCTTCTCCCTCTTCCTCTATCTTCTGTCTTTGACCATTATCCCTGCCCCCTGTCCCTCCGGGGCAAATAAATCTCCTTTGTGCTGAGAACTTGGCCTTCAGGGTCCTGAGCCAATACTTTTCCTTTCAACCAGGATCTGTGGACAAGCATAGGACAAGAGAGCAGAGAACCCAGGAGCTGCCCAGCTCTGCAGCTGGACCTTACTGAGAGCACCCTTTCCACTAGGGCCTCTGTTTTTATCCTAGAAACAAATACTGAGCATCTCTCAGCCCTAGCTAGGCTTCCATGCAGAGGCTGATGCTGAAGGAGGATCTCTGGTAAGGTCCAGTTGTCTCCAGCCACTGCCCTTCCGGCCCAGGCCTCCTGTTTGGAGCTGAAATGACCTAACAGTGACTCAGAAACCACGAGCTGATGAGCTCTTGCAGATTGTGTGTGCAGCTCTTCTCTGCTGCTAAACCACAGAATGGACTGTGATTGCTCTCAAGGAAGGATCCCTCTACTACAAAGAACATTCTGCCCTGCACATCTGAAACCTAAGGGTCAACTCTCACAGAACAGTCTTTAGGTCCTGAGGATGTACCCAGTGCCAAATGAGACTCCTTCCAGAAATGCCCTCTGTGGAAATACTCTTCAGGGCATTCATAATAGCAACAGTAATGACATCCATTTACTAAATGTCCTTTGTAAGCCAGGCCTCAGGCTAAGAGCTTTATACAGCACAGTCAGTCTGCCTTAACTAGAAGTTCAGCAACCAAAGATTCAGATAGATACTCAGGGGGTAGAGGACAGTGCAACTATACTAAACAGGTAGGGACTGTTTTGTCATTGTGTGCCCAAATAAATCACTGCTACATGTTTTGTTTTATCTTGTTATGTCAAACTCTCATGTAGCCCAGGCTGGCTCTGAAATCACTGTGTAGCTGAGGATAGGCTGGAACTCCTGATCTTTCTGCCTCTGTCTCCAAAGTGCAGGGATTACAGGTGTGCACTATGGTGCCCAGCTATTGTTAACATTGTTAACAACTATTTGCATAACATTTACATTGTATTCAGTACTGTGAATAGGAACTGAGAAGAAGGAGCAGTGGGTAAGAGTGCTTGCTATGCAATCCTAAGAATCTGAATTAAAATCTCCACCACAGAGCCACATGCCTGTAAACTAGCATCCATGGAGCAGTCAAGTGGATCCTGGGAGCTCACTGACAAGGAAGCCTAATCAAAAGAGCAAGCTACCAGTTCAGTGAGAGACCCTGTCTCAAGATAGTAGGTAAAGAGTGACAGGAGACCCCAATGTTTTCCCCTGTCCTCCACATTTTCACACCCACAGACACCCATCACTCACCTCAGATCCATGTACCACACACATACACACACACACACACACACACACACACACACACACACACACACACATACACACACCATGAATAATCTAATGACTTCAAGTATAAGTGCTTAGGTTAAATGTAAATACTTTACTATATTTTTCATTTACTAGTAGTTTATTTTTCATTATTTTTGAGAATTTTATATATACATACAATGAAATTTTATAGAAAGGTTTTGGGCATCTGTGGATTTGGAGATCCTGGTGGGATGAGCCCTGAAATCAGCTCTCCAGGATACTTCAGAACATCTGCAGTTATCTGATAGTCACACCACCCCATATTGGATGCCATCATTATGAGAACTATAAAAAAGAGGGGCATGAGGACCACAGAGATGCCGAAGCCTGGCAAAGTCACTAAGCCAGTGAATAGGAAAAGACACACCTCCAACTCTGGCAGGCCTCAGGGACTGTGCTCAAGGGTCATGCTGAAGTCCCCTCCTTTGCCTGTGTTACCCTCCTCCAGGAAGCCACTCTGAATGTGCCTGTCTCCACCTACAGATCAACACATTCTGCCTTTTTCATAAAATTTTTGGAACATTTCTCTTACTGTACTGAAGGGATTTCTTCTCCATTCCCTCCTCCTAGAAGGTGAGTTGTTATGATTAAGTATAGAGGAAATAGCTCACACTAAACACACTCATGAGACTGATTAATGAGTCCAAAATGCAATTTATTAATTTACACTGAGAAATGAAAGCCCCCAGCAGCCAGGAATTCTGAGGTTGGCTGGTCAGCACAATCTCTTTCAGGAAGGACAGACTTTTGGGAAAGAAAATCAATACTAGAAGATTCTTTATTCAGTACAAAGTCAGTAAAGGGAGTTGATGGATTGACACACAGGTGGAGCCAAACACACCTCCAAAGCCTCCTGCCTGCCAAGGACCGGAATATCTAAGTCAGAGTGTCCTGGTGTCCTGTCCGGACAGCCCTGGATCTTTCTGGATCCTATGGAGAACCTACCTTTTGGATGTCTTCATCATTATTCCAGCTGGATTTTTCTGGTGCTTGTTTGTTTAGGTTCATTTCTGCAGTTTAACAAAACCATACAGCAAGTTCTAATCACAACCTACAGAAGAGGAGGAGGGGGAAGCCCTGCTGCTTTGGGGGAGCCTGTACGTCTACATTATCATTCTAGCCCCACATTTCCTTGTGATGGAGGGTTGTAGATGGAAAACATGGTGCTGGAAGCCAAATTGTCCATGTTTGAATCCTGGGTCTGCAGTGTATATACTGTGGACACATTATCTATGGCAGTTTCCCCTCATCTAAGTTGAGGGTCATGGGAGCACCCACCCCAATGTGAATCAAGAGAATTCGATGACAGAGTACACGGGGAGTGCTTAGAGCCTCGTCTGGCATCTGGGAAGCAATCGATACTTGTTAGTTATGATGAATAATTCATTTCATAGATGAGAAAGCTGAAGCCCAGAGAGATAGTCAACCAAGATCATGCAGCCAATGAGGGGTGAAGATGTAATTCTCTATCACATGCTTTCCCCAGCTTCCAAAGTCTTTCCTCAGAAAATCTCCTACTTTTTTATTAACACATATTAATTGTACATACTAATGAGGCTGAGTGTGAATTTCCATACATGCACACAACATGCAGGGGTCATTTCCACTCACCCCTCTTCCACCCTCCGCCCCTCCCTGCAGCATCCGTTCCAGTCTCTAGGAACCACTTGTCTACTCTTCAGAATGACTTCCTTCCTATCCATGAGAGGGAACATTCTGTCCTTGTTTTTCTGTGCCTGGCTTATCTCACTTGGAATGATGGCCTCCAGTTCCATTGTTTCACTGCAAACGGCAGCACTGCATTGTTAACATTTGTAGCTCCAGTCCGTTTCTTGTTCTTGAATCTCTCTCTCTCTCTCTCTCTCTCTCTCTCTCTCTCTCTCTCTCTCTCTCTCATTATTATTATTGGTTTTTCAATACAGGGTTTCTCTGTGTAGCTTTGTAGACCAGGCTGCCTTGAACTCACAGAGATCTGCTTGCCTCTGCCTCCCGAGTGCTGGGATTAAAGGTGTGCGCCACCACCTCCTGGCTGTTCTTGAATTTCTTAAGAAGCTAAAGGAGAAGTCATTTTTAAAATGAAAATACCCACCCACTAACCAGAAGGGGTAAAAATCTAAAAGAATAAAACATTAGAGTAAGGTAAGGCTGCAGAGCAACCAGAGAGGGTGTGCAGGAGCAGTTGCTTGGCAAGTGTCTGGAAGTTTCCAGTGTCATTAAATAAACACCCACTGAATCAACCAGGTTCAACCCAGGAACAAAAATTACTCTGTGTATCGGTGTATGCCTGCGTGCGTGCATGCGTGCGTGTGTTCTCAACCGAAAGAGAAGTGATAATGTAACTATATCTCTATATAAAGGGGGTTAATTGAATGACTTACAGGCTGTGGTCCAGCTGGGTCCAACAATGGCTGGCTAGTAGCAGAAAGTCCAAGAATCCAGTAGTTGTTCAGTCCACAAGGCTGAATGTCTCAGCTGGTTGGAATGTGGAAATAGGCTCTAATGCCAATGAAGGAATAGACTTTCCAGAAAGAGTGAGGACAAGCAGGCAAAGAGCAAGAACTTCTTTCTCCCTTGTCCTTTATATCAACTGCCATAAGAGGGTGTGGCCCAGATTTAAGGTGGGTCTTCAGACCTTCAGTGATCCAATCACCTAAAAACTATCCCTCGAAGGAGTGCCTAGTGGCTTTGTTTTGTTTTGTTTTTAGCTAATTCTAGATGTAGACAAGTTGACAACTAAGAATAGACATATTGTGTGTGCATGTATGTAGTATGTGGTATGTATGGGTGTATGTGTAGGAGTATGGAGGGGTATGATATGTGTATTTGGTATGTGTGTGTGGTATGTGTGGGGTGTGTGTGTGTGTGTGTGTGTGTGTGTGTGACTCAGGTCCTGTGTGTTACAGGGACTTGGTCTTAATTATGTACAATGACTAAGCCATCTTACCCAGATTACCTCATACTGGAGCTTCAGTTCCTTGAGTCAGATAGCCATGATTACACATACTGTAAGGGAGACAGAGAACAGGGTAGACCCCATAAGCTTGAGCTAGAACCCCAAGAGATGGACTGAAGGCTTAAAACTCTGTCAGTTCTTCTTGCTGCAGCTGCTGGTGCTGTATTTCACAGAAACCAAGGGACTTTCCAATGGAAACCACTTCAAACATTCCTGATTCGAGAGCAGAAGTCAAGCAAAGGGGAAGCCAGCTATGGAAACTCGCCAATCAGACCTGCCAAAGATAAAGCAAAATGTGTTTGAGCTACAAAATGACTGCTGCTTCCAGTCCACCCTCCTATTGCTCTCCAGAGTCTTCCTTGAGACCCACCCTCGCCAGAAACACACAGGAAAGGAAATTTTACTCTGCAAGTCTCAACACTATAAACCTACCACGCCTGCCCTTTGACAAGCAGTTCCACTTATGATTCACCTTATATTTATTTGTGTGTGTGTGTGTGTGTGTGTGTGTGTGTGTGTGTGTGTGTGTGTGCCCACCAACTGAGAGCAGCAGGGTGTCCACAACAGCTTTATTCAGAAGAGCTCCATCCAGTAGTCCACCATTAAGAATATAGAGGCCAGGTGTTGGTGGCGCACACCTTTAATCCCAGCGCTCGGGAGGCAGAGGCAGGTGGATCTCTGTGAGTTCGAGGCCAGCCTGGTCTCTAGAGCGAGTGCCAGGATAGACTCCAAAGCTACACAGAGAAATCCTGTCCCAAAAAACCAAAAAAAAAAAAAAAAAAAAGAATATAGAGGAGTAAATAGTCTTTATTCACACAATGCATACTACTCCACAAAACCCTTCAGAAAGCCGGGCCGTGGTGGCGCACGCCTTTAATCCCAACACTCGGGAGGCAGAGGCAGGCAGATCTCTGTGAGTTCGAGACCAGCCTGGTCTACAAGAGCTAGTTCCAGGACAGCCTCCAAAGCCACTGGGAAACCAAAAAAGAAAAAAGAAAAAAAAAAACCCACTTCAGAAGTTCAAGGTCATCCTCAGCTACATAATGAATAGGAGACCAGTCTGGGATACAGAAGACTCTCAAGGAAGAAAGAAAGAAAGAAAGAAAGAAAGAAAGAAAGAAAGAAAGAAAGAAAGAAAGAGGAGAGGGAGAAGGAAAGCAAGAGGGAGAAACGCAACATAAAAATGTTTGTACAATTCTACTCATGTAAAGGTCTTGATGGGCAAAGCTGATTGAGAGGGACAGAAGGAAGACAGTTGTTTACCTCTGAGGGGAAGGGTGGGTTTGCTGCCTTCAGTCAGAAGACCTTCTATATTGGTGGCTTTCTCGTTGCTGTGACTATATACCTGATGATATAACTCAGGAGAACAGCAATTTATTTTGGCTCACAATTCAAGAATACCATCCATCTTGGCAGCAGGAGCTTATAATATGGTTTTTCCCTGATATCTCGGCAGAACAGGAAGCAGAGCATAGACTAGTGGCAGGCTTGGGTTACAACTTCAAAGGTTCACCACTTAGTTTCCTGCTTCCTCCAACCAGGACGGGGCATATCAACCACCTCCCAAAGCAGCAGCAACAGTTGGAGAATGCCTGCCCTTAAGTAGCAGTGGCATGCCTTCTGTCTTACTTAGGATCACTATTGCTGCGATGAAACACCATGACCAAGGCAACTTGGGGAGGAAAGGGTTTATTCGGTTTATACTTCCTTATATCTGTTCATCATTGAAGGAAGTCTGGACAGAAACTCAAATAGGGCAGGAACCTGAAGACAGGAGCTGACACAGAGGCCATGGAAGGGTGCGCCTCATAGGCTTGTCTGCAGCCCAACCCTATAGAGGCATTTTCTCAGTTAAGGTGCCCTCCCCACTGACAACTCTACCTGTGTCAAGTTGACATGAACCTAACCAGGACATCTGCATGTATGTGAAAGCTCACTGCAGCTTTACATTTAGATTAAATCTAGTGTTAGATTTTTGAGTCCCTGTAAAGAGACAGAAGATGGAAAAGAGACAGGGTCTGACCTTCAACAGACAGGACTGTGTTTATTAATGCACACAGCAAGGGGGAGCCTCTCTCCCTCGGGAAATTGAGGAGTCTGCAGGGGACGGAGAGGTTGCTGCATCCCTTTATAGGGTCAGGGTGAAGGGCTTGAGAGTGAGGTAATTGTTGCAACCTTAGCCCACATATCCTCCTGCAGTTTCTCCTTCCTGAAATGGTTTGCCCAAGGCAAGGCAGGCTGTCCCAACAGACATGCCTTCCTAAGATGACCCAGCAAGCTCAGGTGTGTATTGCAGGAATCCTGTTTTATGGCCAAGGCACTCTATCACACAGTACCCTCAATGCTTAGTGCTCTGAACTATATAAGTGACCCAGGAGCTGGAGAGATGGCTCTGCAGGGGAAAACACATGCTGCTCTTGCAGAGGATCTGAGTTCAGATCCTTCTGCCCTCCACAGGCATCTGCACCCACATGCACGTAGCCACACACAGACATACATGCATAATTAAAACTAACATTTCCTTATTTTCTTGAGATTTCTTTTTTATCTTATGTGTATGGGTGTTCTCTCTACATGTGTGTCTGGGTACCATGAGTGTGTAGTGTAGGCCAGAAGTGGTTTTAGGGTCTCCTTAGAACTGGAGTTACAGTTGTTAGCTGCCATGTGTGGGTGCTAGGAATGGAACTTGGGTCCTCTGGTAGAGTAGCCAGTGCTACTGAACCATCTCTCTAGTTCTCTCTCTCTCTCTCTCTCTCTCTCTCTCTCTCTCTCTCTGTGTGTGTGTGTGTGTGTGTGTGTGTGTGTGTGTGTGTGTGTAGTGTTTACACATGTACCACATACATACATGGAGGTTAGAGGCTTGTTGGCAAAGGCCCTTACCTACTGAGCCATCTCACTAACTCCCACTTACCTCCTTTTGAGATAATGTCTCTCATTGGGCAATTAGGCTAGATTGACTGCTCAGCGAGTTCCAGGAATCCGCCCTACCTTCCCACTGCTGGGATTAGAAACACAAACCAACCACAGCACTTGGGCTTCTTTTGTTTTGTTTTGTTTTGTTTTCTCATGGTTTCTGGGGGTGGGACTCAGGTCCTAGTTCTTGCAAGGCTATCACTTGACCAACTAATCCTTTAAAAAATTATTTTTTTCTTTTAATAAACTCTTATTCCAAAAAGGTACTCACCACATAGAACTTCATCAAACAAGAAGTTCCTTCCCAGTAACACAAAGAGTGTACTAATCGATGAAACGGTGAACCGGGCTTCTGTTTATAACATGCCGAGCAGATGAATGGTTTCCTGCTCTTTTGGACCATCCCCTGGGAGCTGACAGGAAGTGCAGCCTCTCTGTCCTTATCTCACTTTCCTCCACCATTGGCTGCCTTCCCCTGCTATGGACAGAACCCAGCTGAGGCCCCAAACCACTGCTCTGTCCTGAGAGGCTGATTCCTGTAAGGACTGGAGGATCTCTGTCTGTAAGGCAGAACTGCTCCAGGAAGAACTCATGATGACCAGGCAAGCCCACACTCAGACGAACCAACCTACCTACCTTCCTTCATTCCTACATTCCTTCCCTCCTTCTTTCCTTCCTTCCTCCCTTCCTCCCTCCCTCCCTTTTTCCCTTTCTCCCTCCTTTTTCTCCTTTGATCTCCTGTAGCTCAGGCCTGACTCACTGTGGAGCAGAGGCTAACTTTAACTTGATCCACCTTTCTCTACTACCAAGTGCTGGGCTTGCTACCATCTGGAGACTAAACCTAGAATACTGATGTACACTAGATAAGCACCCCACCAACTGAGCCATATCCCCAGGCCCCCTTTCATTCTTTTTCAGCATAAACTGTCAGTGAGGTGGCTTGTTGGTTAAAAGTGCATGGTGTGCAAGCTTGGTGACCTGTAACCCATCGTGGAAAGGGAGAACAGACTCTAGAAAATTGTTCCCCGACCTCCACATGTACTATAATACACACACACACACACCAATAACACTAAAATTTTTTATAAGTTTATAAAAAAATTTTATTGCGTGTGTGTGTGTGTGTGTGTGTGTGTGTGTGTGTGTGTGTGTGTGTTCTATTAAAAAGAAAAGCAAATGCTCCTGTGGCGGGGGTAGCATCGGTGTAAACTCTTGCTGAGCCTCTCTATCCACCCTTCATAGCATCATGTGACCATTTCCTTTGTGAAAGAAGGAGTTCTCTCTCCTCAGCTGCATTTACAAGGCTCTCTGCAATTTGTAAAGCAAAGCATGTCCACATTCCCTCCTCATTACCCTGCCCATCAGAAGAACTCAGGCAGAGTCTGGGCTGGACTGGCTTTCAGTTTGAGTTTATGGATACTTAGTGTATGGATACTTCCCAGGGAGAGAAAAAAAAACATCATTTGTCCACACCCGCAAGGTATCTCACCTCAGGAGAAGTGACACTTAAGAGCTGTCACTGCCCAGTCAAGTGATGAGGTGGCTCTGGTACAAGGAAACCTAAGCAGGCAAGGGGAGTAGGATCAAAGTCTATTGCTGACACTCCTCCATGTTTGAGTCAAGCCAGTTAAGGCCTAATATGCTCCAATCTCACTGGGCCTTCAGGTGATACTTAATGACAACCTCTTGCACCTGCCAAAGCCAGAGAGCAGCTCGATCAGAGCAATTGTGCTGAGGAAGGGAGGTCCTGAAGGCTCTACCTCCTTCGGTGGCTTCCCCCTGATAGAACAGCCAGGGCTCTACCCACTGCAAGCAGGACAGACCTGATTTATCACCCTCTAACTTCAGAGTTGACCTACCATAGTTTCTTCCCTTCCTACATGGTATCAGGCTTTAAGAGTAAGAAGATCTACGAGTTTGAAGCCAGCCTGGTCTACAGAGCTAGTTCCTGGACAGCCAAGGCTATACAGAGAAACCCTGTCTCAAAAAAAAAAAATTAAAAAACTGCAAATCCAATGTCCTGAAATTAATTGCAAATTCCTGTTTGTACTAGTAGGAGAAAACTGATAACAAATAATAATCAGAAGGTTGTAAGTGTTGGGTGGTTAATTTTCTCATCACTATGGCAAAGTGCCTGACAGATGTGTTTTAAGGGGAAAAGGATTTATATATGAGCTGCCAGACCATCGTGGTGAGGAGGGTGTGGTGGCAGAAGCTTGCAGTGCAGCACGTTCACATCTTGGTGGATCAGGACATAGAGAGCGAGAGCTGAACCAGAAGTAAATATAACCTTCAAGACTCAACCTCAGTGACCCACTTCTGCTAGCTAGGCCACATGTCCCAAGGGCTTCACAAACTCCTGAAACAGTGACACTAGCTTTGGAACCAAGTGTCAAATATCAGAGGTTTGAAGGGCATTTCACCTTCAGAGAGCAAGAGGGAACTGGAGCAGGATGTGGAGATCAGAGTGGGAACATGGGGTTCAGGATGAGGTAGCTTTGTTGAAAATTAGGAGGTCTGAGCCAAACCTTATGGCAGCAAGCCCTGTCACAATGTCATAGCCACATCTGGTTACTACATAATCTCCAGCCCTGAACCTGTATTTGCATCCAGTAATCATTCACAAATTAAGTGGATGGGGCTGAAGATTGTGGCTCAGCTGGAAAATTCCCAGGTTTGATACCCAGCACTATATAAAAATGTAGTCTTGCCTGTTTCCAGAAGTCAACTTATAAACAAGACAGAACCCATCTGGTTTATGATAAAGCTACAGTATGGACAAAGCTTGTTTCTTTTTTGTTTTGTTTTTTTTTTTGTTTTTCGAGACAGGGTTTCTCTGTGTAGCTTTGGAGCCTATCCTGGCACTCGCTCTGGAGACCAGGCTGGCCTCGAACTCACAGAGATCCACCTGCCTCTGCCTCCCGAGCGCTGGGATTAAAGGCGTGCAACACCAAAGCCCGGCATCAGAGTTTGTTTCTTGATGGTATCGTTAAACCACTAAATTGACCATTCCTCATGTCTCTGTCTCTGGGTCTGCCACCTTATGAGACACATAATATATCTTGTTGCTTAAGTCATTCAGGGGTAAGTTTTATGAAGCCTGCACCAACAAAACATTCTGACCAAGGACTTTCCTTCTACTCCCCCTAGGTGATTTGATGAGCTTAACTCTTTTTTTTTTTTTTAAGATTTATTTATTATATATATATCATTCCTCCTCATGCATCCCTGAAGGCCAGAAGAGGGCACCAAATCTCATAACGGATGGCTGTGAGCCACCATGTGGATGATGGGAATTGAATTCAGGACCTCTGGAAGAGCAGTCAATGCTCTTAACCTCTGAGCCATCTCTCCAGATGAGCTTAACTCTTACAGGTCAACTCTCTACTTTTTCTAAGACTATAGAGAATTGTCTTACCACCTAGTATCAGTTCCCACTTTCACCATAGCGTGATGAATGCATTTTCCCTGTGTGATAGTAAATATTTTCTGTCAACTTACAGGATCTAGAATCATCTAAGAAACGGGCACTTCTGTGAGGGAGTCTCTAGACTGAGTTCATTGACATGGGAAGACCCATCCTTAAATGTGAGAGGCACCATTCCATGGGCTGGAGTCCCACGGTGCATGAAAAGGAGAAACCAAGCTCCACTCCATGTTCTCTCTGCTTCCAGACTGCAGCTGCAATGTGACCAGCTGCCTCACACTCCTGGTACTACGGCTTCCCCGCCATGATAAACGATATCCCATGGAACTCAGCCAAAACAAAGCCTTCCTTCTCTAGTTGTGTCAAGTATTTTGTCATATCTATGAGAAAAGTAACTAGTCCACTCTATCTTGGAGATAACAGGGGGGGGGGAGGCTGGAGAGATGGCTCAGTGGTTAAGAGCACTGGCTGTGCTTCCAGAGGATCTGAGTTCAGTTCCCAGCACATAAGCACTCCAAACTCCAGCTGCAGCAGATCTGATTACCTCTTCTGGACTCCATCAGCACCTGGCCTATATACACAGATGCACATCCATGCACATAAAATTCTTAAAAAGGAAAGAAACAGCCTGTCAGTGGTGGTGCACACCTTTGATCCAGCACTCTGGCGGCAGAGGCAGGCAGATCTCTGTGTTTGAGGCCAGCCTGGTCTACAGAGAGAGTCCCAGGACAGCCAGAGCTACACAGGGAAACCTTGTCTAGGAAAAAAAAAAAGAACAAGAAAAGCAAAAGAATAAAGGGCAAAAAGATGTGGAAGCCTAGATGTGGAAGCCCCTGAAATGCACATGACCAGACACCTACCTCTGGACAAGCCAGAAAGGACCTGAAATGTTAGAAGAGTGGTGTTTAGAGCCCAACACCCTGACTACTCCTCTTGTAGATCACAGGTATTGAGGCTTCCCCTGCAGCCTGGAAAGCCCCCATTCTTAAGTGGATGACTCAAGCAAGAAATTCTTCTGTTTTTAATTTTAAATGTTAAATTATTAAAGAGATAATACATGCACCAGTTTTTTTTTTTTAGTACAAAGGTTATAAAGTAAAACATAAGTCTAGCGTCATAGCTTAGGAATAGAGCACACAGAGAGTATTTGTGAGTTCCTAGGTTTGATCTCCAACATCCCTCTCAACAACAGCAACAACAATAAAAAAGGAAAGAAGGAAGGAAGGAAGGAAGGAAGGAAGGAAGGAAGGAAGGAAGGAAGGAGGGAAGGAGGAAAGGAAGGAAGGAAAAGGCTTTTCAGCCTTTTGACAATATCGAAATGAAAGACCCCTGCCCCTTAGCCCTTTCTTTCTCAAGTTTGTCTCCTCTTCCTCCTGTCGGCGGCTTCCCTGATCCCCACCCCCGGCGGCTTCCACTTCCCCCCGCCACCCGCCGCACGCCTGGCCTGAGAACTCTGTTGTACCAGACACCAGACCTTGAGAATATGCTGATCTGGAATGGCTCTGTGTCTCATTTAAACCATCCAATAGAAATGATTCTGTATTTCGCCTCATTTGAAAAGACTCTGTGTTTCACCTCATTTGAATAACTCTGTACTTCGCCTCATTTGAATAACCCTGTATAGCGCCTCATTTACATTGACCAATGGGAATAGCTCTGTACAATGCCTCATTAGAATTATCCAATAGAATCCCTGCTCCTAGCTTGCGCCTTTTTCCCTATATAAGGACCCCTTTCCCTTGGCTCGGAGCGCTTGGCCTCACAGAAGCTAAGTCGCCCGGGTACCCGTATCTCCAATAAAGCCTCTTGCAGTTTGCATCCAAGTTCGTGGTCTCGCTGATTCCTGGGTGCGGGTCTCCTTCTACGAAAGTACCTCTTCGGGGGTCTTTCAGAAATATTAATACCAAGAGCACCCAAAAAAATGTGGGTGCAAAGTGATGCTGAAGGAGTTGGAGTCTCCACAATCTCTGTTGCTCAAATCATATCCCCAAACCCACCAAATTAGCTTGAGATTCACATAGTACAAACATAGCATCAGGACCAGTCCCTGCCCTCTCCTCCTAGTCTTCTAGCCCAAACCATAATACCGGCCAGCTTGTGTTACTATTTCCCCCGAGTCCTTCCAGAGTCTCTGCACCTAATGGTACAATGTGTGTATAAATTATTGTATCACTACTTCACCCCACATGCTTTTGACACAGGTGGTAGCATCCTGTTTAATTGTTCTGTCTCTTATTTTTTTAATGGAATCTTTATTTGTTTTAGTATGTTTGTGTCTTCTGTGTGTGTATGTGTATGTAGGTGTGTGTGCGTTCCTGTGTCAGTGCACTTGAGAGATATTTTTGCACGTGTGTGTGCATGTATACAGAAGCCGGAGGACAACCACAGGTGGTGTTTCTCAGAAGACATCCACCCTGGGTTTTTGTTTGTTTGTTTTTGTTTTTGTTTTTTTTATTTTATCAACTTGGATCAGACTTCAACAGTATTTTGTCAGGTAGTTTATTCCCAACAAATTTAAACACAGTATAACTTAGAAAAAAACTTTCTGGTGTAATAAAATCCCTGGTGTACAAGATAATAAAATTACATCAGAACTCAACTCAGAGCCCAGGCCACTTCATCCAGGAAGCTGGTTCTAGAGATAGGCTATCTGTACCAGCTCAAGGGCCTAAGGAAAGGTCTGGGCTTGACTCGGTCATACAGATAGTGTAGAGGTCATCTGAGCTATTAGCCACCTCTGATATTGGTTGTGGGAATTTGAGGTAGCCTCTGGCTATACAGGTCATTTAGGCTACTACCACCCTGTCTTTTGATATGGAGTCTCTCATTGGCCGGAAGCACACCAAGTAGGCTCGACTGGTCTGCCAAAGAGTTCCAGATATCCATCTTTCTCTGACTCCCAGCTCTGGGATTACAACTGGGCACCACCATGCTAACTTTTTCTGTGTTTTGTGGGGATCAAACGTAGGTCCTTGTGCTTATGGAGCAAGCACCTTACCAACTCAGCCATCTCCCAACCCTTAACTCACCTGTTAACGGGTTTTTTTTTTTTAAGATTTCTTTTACACGTGTGTGCTCCTGTGTGTGTGTGTGTGTGTGTGTGTGTGTGTGTGTGCATTTGTGTGTGACTGTATATGTACCATGTATATGCTATGGAAGTCAGAAAAGCATGTTGGAGCCACTGGAATTGGAGTTACATACAGTTGCAAGCTGCCCAGTGTGGGTGTTGGGACTGAACACAGGTCCTCTGGACGAACAATGTACTCTCTTAACCAATGAGTCATCCCTCCAGCCACATTAGAATATTTAATTCTGTTCCAAAAAAGAACATATAGCCCTTGTTCTTCTTTTTATAATTCACATTAAGTTCGATGACAATTTGGGGATATTTATATATGGAGTAGGATTTGAGTCCCTAATGCCTCATTGGTGATATTAGGTTTTTTGACAATATAATAAGCAACTACAAACAAGGTAGCATAGTCACAATCACACTTCAAGAGTAACTGCAGGATCCCTTTCTAAAACATGAATTTCTAGATCAAAGAGTAAGTACATTTTAAAGTTAATAGCCATTTATCAAACTGACCTTCAAAGCAGCCATACCAATTAACACCCGCACCCATGATAGATGAGAATGCCTCTCTCCTGCACAATCTGGGGAGGCAAGCAACTCATAGATCAAGTTTGGAAAGCACACAGAGGGGAGCTGTTGGCCTGCTAGCTGATCCTCATCGTGAATAAGACCCAGGTGCAGATCAGTGAGATGAAGGCCTTTGAGAATCTAGTGATGCCGGACTTGAATCTGGAATCTTGTTTTGCTTGTTTTGTTTTTAAACAAGGTCTCACCTATCTCTCCGGCTTCCCTGGAACTCACTATGAAGTCAAGGATGTCCTTGAACTTCTGATCCTATTGCTTCCACCTCAACAGTGCTGGGATCACTGACAAGGATCAACAGAGCCCAGTTTTGAGTATGTGATCTCTCTGTAATTTATGCTTTAGCTCATGGGGACGGGGGTGGGTGGGGGGGAGGCTCGTCTTCCTAATGTGTAAAGCATGCATAAATCTTTTTAATACCGTATCTGGTTGTTACAAAGAGCCAGCTGACAAAGGGTGTGAAAAGTCCCAGGTAGTGGTATTGTAGAAGACAAGCATCTGAACCCAGGTTTCCTCTGTGGATGGCATTGATCTAAATTTGACTCAGGCAAGACTTGGGGAAGTGCCTGAGATAGAGGGTGTGGTTCTGAATGCATCTTGTAAGAGGGGCCAGGAAAGCTCAGGCTAAGGAGAAAAAGCAGGCGAGGATTCAGGCCTCAGAAGTGGAGTAGAGAAGTGTGTGGAGGAGGTAATACTGGGGTGAGAGACTGACACTCCCTTTGTGTCATGGATTTTACCCAAAGGAAGGTACAGGAGATTACTGCGATTTTTAAAGCACTGTAAATGTTGGTGTTTTATTGTGCAGCGAAAAATGCAACCAACCCACTTAAGAAATGATTCTATGCTCTCTCTCTCTCTCTCTCTCTCTCTCTCTCTCTCTCTCTCTCTCTCTCTCTCTCTTTCTCAAAAAAAATGAAGTCAGGTGGCAGAGCTGGTGAATTGACTCAGCAGTTAAGAACACTCGCTGCTCTTCCAAAGTTCCTAAGTTTGGTTCCCAGGATCCACATCAGTTCATAACTGCCTGCAACTTTAGCTCCACAGTACCTGATGGCATCTGAGGCCCTTTTCTGCTTTCTATGGCCTCCCACACACATGTGCTCAAACACACATGCAGACGTATACACTATAAAAGGGGGTTGAAGAGTAAATGAGAGGAGAGGGAGGAGGGATGAGCAAAGGATCCATGACAGTGCTGGAGACACCCGCAGAAACAGTTGACCTGACCTAGTAAGAGCACGGAGACCCTAGTCGTAAAGCTGGGGAACCAGCATTGAAGCAAACCAAGCCCTCTGAATGTGTGTGGGTGCCAGCTAGGAGGCCAGGGCAGTCTATGGGACCTCTAACAGTGGAGCCAGTGTTTATCCCTAGAGCACAAATGGACTTTGGGAGCCCATTCCCTATGGAGGTACACTATTGCACCCCAGATACAGGAACGAGGCCCTGGACCCTCCCCCAAATGATGTGACAGATGTGATGGTCCCCATGGAAGACCTCATTATCTCTGGGGAGTGGGTTGGGGGGTCAGTGGGGAGCATGGGAGGGCAAGGGAATGGGGGGATTGATATGTAAATAAGAGTGCTTCTAAAATAAAAAAAAAGAGTAAGAAAAAAAAGAGTAAATGAGAAAGACATCCAACATCGATCTCTACAGGCATGTGCTCATACATGAACATGTACATATACATCACAAACAACAAAAATAGCCAGATAAATAGACAGATGATGGATGGATGGATGGATAATGGGGAGGCTAGAGGGATGGCCCAGCAGTTAGGAGCACCCAGAGGACCCAGCTTCAGTTCCTAGCACCCACATGGTGACTCACAACCATCTGTAACTCCAGTTCTGAGTCATCTGACATCCAGGCAAAACACTCACAAACATAAAATAAAAATAAATAGATAGATAATGGATAGTTTTATAAAGAAAATGCTAATGAAAGCATTTAAATGTTTTAAATGTGATTTGATAGAAATTTTAAAGCTAAGTGATTCATTTTAGATGGTATGTGAACCACAGCCATCCCCCAAATCATGATGGTAATGCATTAGTGACTGAAGTTCCTCAAACACTAATATACAATGCCAATTTTAGAATTCAACATTAGTTCTATGAATCAAACAGACTGGAGTTAAAGCCCCACTCTTTGGCTGGGCAGGTGGGACAGCCACAACAGAAGTAAGATTCCTAATCTATAAAATGGGAGTGGTATGTTTTTAAATTAAATTTATTTATTTATTTTTCATCCCAACTGCAGTTTCCCCTCCCTCCTCTCTTCCCATTCCTTCCAACCAGCTCCCCTCTGACCATGAACCCCCCTCCCCATCCACTCCTCCTCTGTTTCTATTCAGAAAGGGGCAGGCCTCCCATGGCTATCAACAAAGCATGGCACATCAAGTTGCCATAGAACTGAGCTATTCCCCTTGTATTAAGGCTGAGCAAGGCAAGCCAGCATGAGGAATAGGCTCCCAAAAGCCAGTCAAAGCATTAGGGACAGCCCTTGCTCCCACTGTTAGGAGTTCCACAAAAAGACCAAGCTACATAAATGCCATATATGTGTAGAGGGCCTATGCCAGTCCCATGCAGGCTTGCTGGTTGTAGGTTCAGACTCTGTGAGCTCCTATAAGCCAGGTTAGTTGTTTGTGTGACTTTTCTTGTGATGTCCTGACCCCTCTGGCTCATACAATCTTTCCTCCATCTCTTTAGCAGGACTACATGAGCTTGGCCTAATCTTTAGCTGCGGGTCTCTGCATCTGTTTCCATCAGTAACTGGATGAAGCCTCCCTGATGACAACTGGGGTAGTCACGAACCTATGAGTACATCAGAATATCATTAGACATTATTACATTGACATTTTTTTCCTCCAGTCATGTTTGGTTCTATCCTAGATCTCTGTGCCATCCATCCTCTGGGTCCTGGAACTCCAGGAAGTGACAGGGGTGGGCTCACTTTTGTGGCGTGAATCTGAGGCTGGACCAGTCATTGGTTGGCCAGGAAGGGTATTTTTTGTCACAGGGTGCCTGCAAAGATCAATGAAGTCGAATGCACAAGGTGCTCACTTTGCTTCCTGGAGTGGAGGAAGGGCCTGGTAAGTGTGATGATTGTAATGACAGTAAGCATAAGCTAAGCAGTTTAATTCCATTGGTCATATAAGATTTTGTTGTTATAGAACCCATTCTGGGGGCTGGAGAGATAGATGGCTCAGAGGTTAAGAGCACTGACTGCTATTCCAGAGGTCCTGAGTTCAATTCCCAGCAACCACATGGTGGCTCACAACCATCTGTTATGAGATCTGGTGCCCTCTTCTGGTGTGCAGATATACATGGAAGCAGAATGCTGTATACATAATAAATAAATAAAAATTTTAAAAAAGAACCCATTCTGTTGTGTAAATAAATTTCAACATCATTAACAAAGAAGATGGTTAAGCAAGAAAGGAAAACCACCCATCACTCTCCCAACAATTTTCATTTTTGCATTTTCTCCTCTTGACTTTGTCAAATGAGTACTTATTTTGCATGTCTGCAGTCAGTATTCATGCAAATTTTGTGCCCTGCCCTTTATCAACAAACTCGTTATAAACAGTTTCCATGTTTCTGCATATCCTTGATCATTACCATTTTTGCGGGTGTACAGTATTGAATTGAATAGATCAGCCCTGGATTTCTTAACCATCTCACTGCCTGGAGAAATGAGAGAAATGCTAGTGGCATGCCTAGAGCTTTTTTTTTTTCTACCAATTGAATTAAATTCTTTAGACCAATGCCCAGAAGTGAGATTAGTGGGCCAAAAGAAAATAATACGTTCAAGGCTCCCGTTACATTCACTTGATTGTTTCGCAGACTTGCACACTGCTTCCAAAGACTCAGAAGCACAGACTTCGCCCAGTCTTGCCAGCGCAAGATGATGATGTCTGTTAAATTCTGCTAATTTAATCAGTCTGAAATGCTATCCCGATTCAGCTTTCATTTCCATCTCTTTGATCACAAACGGTTTGAACTATTTTCCAAGTATCTGTTTGCTCTCTCCCTACCCAACTGGGTGAAGCAACCAGCCGCATCCCTCACCTCTTTGTCTACTGAAGTCTTTAGACTCATATGATGGATTTGAGTGAGCACCTCGACAGATACAAATCATTTGCCCCCCAGATTTGGCCACTGAGGCTTCTCAGCAGGATGATGCATGACCAAGACTACACCTTAGGAAGATTAATTCTCAGATTAATTGAGGAAAATGCACTACAAGGCAGAGAGAGACATCTGTTCATAGGATCTTAATGGGGGCTTAGACTAGGAAGTGACCCCAGTCTGCAGGGGTCTTACATCCCTCTTTCTGAGGCTTGTGGCCCTTCTCTTCACCATCATCCTACAATTCCCCTCTCCCATGAACTTGCCTTCCCTGGAGAATCTAATGGAACTGAAAGGGAAAGAATATAACTAAAGAAACTCTTTTCAAAGAGAACCCCACAGTGAAATAATGACAGAACAACCAGCCGTATGTGTTATCTTCAAAGAGGTAATGGGAAGATAGTAAGTTACAGCAAATGGTTGGACCCGTCAGCTTGTTTCTCTCTGAAACGGTTCGAAGACTGAATGAGTCCAAGGCAACCCATCTAATAAACACCACAAGCAGGACCTCGAAGCACCACCCCACCCCCACTTTAATTTTTTACCCCCTGAGCAATACTAACACGACCCATGTACCATGATTAGGATTAGAGCTGCTCCAGCTCTAATCACACACATTCCATGTCTATGTGATATCAGGGACAAGGCTTGCTTCCAGGTGCACCAAATAAGTAGAATCAGAGAAAATGTGGACTCTGCACTGGGTAAGTTAGCAAGTTCGTGGTCTAAGGAGACAGGGGGCCTTCTTCAGCCGAGAGGGAACTCTGTCAACACAGTGGGACCTAACTTTTGAATTAATAAGCCTCCAGAAGGCCAAATCCTGACTGAGGCTCAGCACTGCATGGGGCTGCAAGAAAGGAGAGGTTGGTATGTATCTAGATGCGGAGGCTGGCTCTGTGGCTGCTCTGTCTTGTCTCCTTTCCATATAGTCATGTGACTTCTTGGCAGAACAGACCCCAACATGTACAAGAATGGGGCACAAGTGCAAGTAGAATTACTATGTAGCATAGATTGGGAGTTCTCTCCTGGAACAGCAGTCAAAGCAAGCAAGATTTCCCCCTCAAAGTAACCCTTGCTTCCGAAGCCACAGGCACTGTTCTCGCACTCTTCAAAGAAACCTAATATTAGAAACCTAGGTTCAAATTTAGAATGATTGGATTCCATATGGTTCTATACAGAAATACACTGTGTCCTAGTCTCTTGCAGCTATAATCTCACCTAAACAAGGGTCCTTAGGGATATGCATGCAAACGACCCTAACTGCAGGTCTAAGGTCCATGAGTATTGTCTCTAAAGCATCTCCCTGGAGCTCAGCTTCTGCTGTGGGGACACAGAAGAGAAGAAAAGGCTCATGGGTGTCCTCACGGAAGAGTGGGGCCATTTGAGAAAAAGACTCTGTAGTCACCACCAGAAGTATATGGGCTCTAGGAGGGCACATCTCCCTGGCCTTAAGTAGTTCTTATCCCATGAAGGGATATTGGTTAGAGAAAGGCTAGAAGAGTCCCAAGAGCATGGGGTTCAAGGCAAGACTCCTCCTGCACAGGTACAAGATGGCTTCACTCTCTTCAAGCTTGTGTTCCATCTGTTAAGAGGACTGTAAACAAACGCTCCCTCACAGAGTTACTCTAAATCATCCAATGCACAGAAGTTGGTGCCTTGAAGTAAATACTTATACACAGTACCATAGATAACACGAGTTGGATAACAACAGGCGGTTGTGAGCTGCCATATGGATGCTGGAAACAGAACCCTGGCCCTCTGCAAGAGCAACCAATGCTCTTAACCGCTGAACCACCTCTCCAGGTCCCAAACTTGACCTTTAAACTAATATGGCTTGGGACTTTTTCTTCCTCAATTTAGAAAGTATCTGATGGGTAATCCTGCCCCCATCAGGCTGGCAGAGCGAGGCTGGGGAGAAGCTGTGATGCACAGGTGCAAGATTATGCAGTGTGTGTGGTCACTGACCAGATCACCGGACTGCAGGAAAACACTCACAAGCCCTGCATGGTGGACCGTGAGAGCTAAGGAGCCCCAAATGAGGTTCAGCAGAATCTCTACAAACCCAGATCATCTACTGGAGCCCACCACCCAGAGCTGGGATTGTGAGAGCTGGGCGAAATCTGGCTGACAGACTCTGTTCTCAGCAGCTTCCATCTCAGAAGCCCCAGAGAACCAGGCATGCCAGGAAGCCAGACTCCCAGGACACCAACCCCATGATGCTCATTTCAACCATAGGGAAACTGAAGCCCTGGTTACGCTCACGGGCAGAATTCAGGCTGGATCTTCCGGGTCAGGTTGGGACTCCTGCCATCACACCGGACAACCTTGGCATGTGCTAGGAGAGAGTGGCAATGTCAAGTTCAACTCATTGGGGGGGGGGTTATGACTAAGGACTCCCAAGCATAGCACTACCCCTTGCTCCTGGTGAGCTTAGGTCCTAACTCTGCTGTTTACCCTTAGAATCCAGTCTCCAGGTCACCTTAGGCTCAAAGCACAAATAATGACATTACTTAGCATTATTGAGGAGACACACTGTTAGATTCGTTCATGCTTTATCTCATTTAATCTTCAATCAACTCTCTGATCTGGAAACTAAGAAACTTACTTCCATTTTCTACATGAGAAACCTGGAGGCTTAGGAAACTTAAGCCACTTGGTGACAGTCGCCTGTTTTAATCAGTGAGTTGCGGAGAGAAGCATAAACTCTGCAGAGCCCCTGTGTTCAGGACCACTGAGCAATCCCATGGTGTGCATTCACTAGCTAGGGTTCTAATACTGAAGGTACCAAACAGCCCGAGTTTGGAATGGGGCTCTGTCAACTCACTAAAGGGGGTCACCAGAGGGAAGAGCGGCAGCGGTGACACAATGAGAATAGTCATGCCCATGGGACACATAAATGCCCATTTTTGCCAATATTCCACTTCTTCTGCGAGTCCTTTTAGAAGCCTACTTTTCTCCAGACACTGGCTTGCGCGGGGGAAATAGTCTATATTCATCAACCCCTTTCCAGAGAGCTTTGGCTTCTAGTGGGACTGCAGCTCCATCTACAACCACCAGAGGGCGGGCCAGCTCTGTGACCAAGAAGTACCCAGAGCCTGGCCAAGGGTCCAGGCGGGAGATGGGCCTACATGACCAAACCACACTCTCCAATCACACTGTGCCATCAGCCTACTCCTTGGGATCTCCAAACATTTAACTGAAAAAGTCCATCACGGGGTCTTCTTCTAGTGGAACAGCCCGTACCAAAAAAATGATGACCTCGAAACAGTAATCAGCCAGCTCATCTGGAGAGATGAAGATTTATGCAACCTGATAAGTAGTATAATCTCTATGTACAAATAAGGAAATGGAGGCATAAGGAAGAGAGTGAATGGCCCGGGGTACTTAAAGAAAGCTGGTGTTCTGATCCGGAGAGAGATGTCAAGAGTTGTACGGAGAGGGGACCCCAAATGTAAATATCGGGAGAAACAAGGGGTGGGAATAGCCCACAGGGAAGAGCGAATGCACAATGAGATTCTGGGAAAGCAACACTAGCCACCTGCCCACCCACCAGCCAGTGGTCCAACAGCCTTGCTCAGCACCTGTTGGACACACTATATGAGAAGCATTTCCTGCCCTCAAAACGCTGGCAATCTAGAGTGGGAAGTGGTGAGTCAGCGGATAACTATGGGAAACCCGGACACCTGTACAAGGCGGTGGCTTAGAGAGCTTGTGACTGTCTCGGGGATCCCAGCTTTGGACTGAAGGAGAGGCCTGGAGCTAAGGACCCTCTTCCCCGCCGCTCATCACAGAATGGGGCTCCCCTTCAAGCTTGGGTTGGCAGCCTGTGTTGGGGGGCAGTGTCCCCTCCCACCCCTCTCAGAAGAGCTGCGGCCCAGGGAG